CAGGCCCGGGCTGGATTCGAACCCACCACCCTAGGTGTATGTGGCTGGTGGCTGGTGCCTTAGCCACTTGAGCCACAGGCGCCGAGCCAGTATTTTCTTTTTTTAAACAAACACCACTACTTGGCTTATTTTCTTCCTTTTCTTTTGACTTACCTAGATGCTGGTGGACTGCCGGCCCCCTCAGGCTGAGCTGTCTGCAATCGCACAGCCTGCAGCAAGAGCTGGGGGCCAACTTCCATCTTCACTGCACATTGTTTCAAGTGACTGATTCTGCTCTTTAAGGTGAGAAATGGTTTGCCACAAATCGGGCATTCAGGGATCTGAGGAATGGAAGGTCTCAGTGCCTTTTCAGCCTCATCCAAGCACCTAGAGGAAAACGGTAAATACAGAAGAACCACACTGGCCAGTAATGGGGGTTGTTGCAGATGTTGAACCATGTCAAGAGGACATGCTTTGGCCAAAGCATGTTCCCCCAAAGCCAATCCCCTCCCCACAGCCTACACAGCTCCCAGCAGTCAGCCTCCAGACATGAAGTATCTGTTAGCAAAGTTAGCTAAGAAAGCAAGGATACATTAAGAGTTGCCTTATGACCCAGAAATTCTACTCCTGAGTATATACCCCAAAGAACTGAAAACAAGTACTCAAACAAATACATGAAACACACATGCACAGCAACTTCATTCACAATACCCTAAAGGTGGACACAATCCACAGTCTATCAGTGGCTGAAATGATAAACAAACTATGGGTTATCCATACAATGAGATGTTGCTCAGCCATAAAAAGGGATGAAGTCCTGATATAGACTATGACATGGATGAACCTTGAAAACATTGTTAAGTGAAAGAAATCAGACAAAGGCCAAGCATTGATTCCACTTGCACGAAGCATGCAGAATAGGCAAATCCATACAGAAAGTTGGTTAGCGGTTGCCAGGGGAGGATGGAGACAAGTAGAAGTGACTGCTAGTGAGTATGGGGTTTCTTTTAGGGGTGATGGAAATAATCCAAGATTGTGGTGATGGTTGCACAACTCTGTGAATATACCAAAAGCCATTGAATTATACACTTTAAATGGGTAAATGCATGGTATGTGAATTATATCTTAATAGGGTTACTTTTAAAAAAGGGTAGGTTGACAAGAAAATTGAGGTGCTATCATCATAGTAAGGAGTTTCAGGATTTGGTGGCATGCATGGGAGGGACCCTGGTCCAAACTGTTCCCACCTGTTCACATGCTGCTCTCTCCGGGCCACGTTCATGGCTGAGAGGTCCTTCTGACAGATTTGGCAGAAGAACAACCCCTTTTCCTCCAGGCTATCACTGTGTGCAGATGCTCCTCCCTGTGCAAACTCTTGCTGCAGGGCCAAGGCCACTGCAGCATCGCTGTCTGTGGCCGGGAGCCCAGACCCATATCCTGCAGAGAAGCACCAAAGGACCATGAGGATAAACCCTAAAGACAAGCTCACTCTCAAACCTCTGCACTGTACATGGGCTCCAGGCTGAGCATTAAGAGACTAGTACCCATCCCCATGCTGCCTGGTGACACAAGCACTAAATGGGGCCCAGGAACAGCACTTCCCAAACTTAGCATTCAGGTCACTGGGGAAGCTTGTCAAAATGCAAATCCAGATGCAGGGGGCCCAGCTGAAGCCTGAGACACTGCATTTCCAACAGCTCCCAGGCATGGCAATGCTAGTAGTTCAGGACCACTCTTTGAGTATCAAGAACCTGAAGAACTTGCCTTTTGTTTTCCTCATTTCTGCTGAAGTTGGCTACCTCAGGCATTGCAGGCCTTCACCAGGCCCCTATTCCAACAAATCTAGCTTTTCTCATCAAAGCTTAACCTTTCACAATGCTGACCTTTTACTGCCCATTACAGAATTAAGCAGAGTGAAATGCCTTTGGCAATTAAAAGGTAACATCTCTTACTTAACATCAGACCGAGGGAGGGAAGGATGCTAGTCTTGAGATGGCTTCCAAGGTGGGCTCTCTGATATTGCTGGAGCAGAACCTTGGCACTCACAAAAGATATGCCCTGAGAACTTCATAAGCCCCAAGTTTTTTAATATTACTATAGGCTACCATGCCTGCCACTGACATCAGAAAAGCAACACACCTTCATTTTGGTGTCCTGTTTTGCTTTTTAACAAACAAATGCTCTCTTTCTGAGCATT